GGAATTCTGTAATTGTGGCAGGAGCGCTAGTCTTTGCCTTCTTTCGTATAATTATGGGCAGGGGAGGACTTTTTGGTTTTGATTGAGCAAGCTTGATGCGCTTGATAAGCTCATCTTTTCGAAGGTTTGCATAGCCGTGCAAGCCGTTCTCTTTTGCAATTTGACGGAGTCGCGCAACAGTGTGTTTTTCCATGGGCAGGGGAGGACTTTTTGGTTTTGATTGAGCAAGCTTGATGCGCTTGATAAGCTCATCTTTTCGAAGCTTTGAATAGCCGTGGAGACCATTCTCCTTTGCAATTTGACGAAGTTGTACAACAGTGTGTTTTTCCATGTTGTTTTTTTACCTTATATATAATGTAAAATATTTTTTTTTAACCATTTTTTTGAAAATCATTTTTTCATCACTCGTTTCAAGTGATGAAAACTCTCTGTGAATTACTCTTCTTCTATTTTTTGATTCTCTTTCACACAGTAGGCTTCGAAACGGAGAGCAAATTTCTTTCCATCAAGTTTAATAAAGTTTCTTGTACTTTCTTTGCGTGATATCAGCTTTTTACCAAACACTCCAGGGTTTACATTGAAGTGTTTTGCAGCGGCACTAATTGAAGGGAAAACGAGTTCAGATGAAGTATCACCTTCTGCAGGTTGAAGTGTCACCCTTTTCCTCACACCAATGTGTCTTGCACGAGGCCGAGGGGGGTTTTTGATAAACTCAATGAGCTCTGCTTTTCGAAGTTTTGAATAGCCCTGAAGTCCATTCTCCTTTGCAATTTGACGAAGTTGTGCAACATTGTGTTTCTCCATGTTGTTTTTTTACCTTATATATAATGTGAAATATTTTTTTAACAGTTTTTTTAACAATCATTTTTTTCATTTTTTTTTCATAACTTTTGAAGATCTTTTTGATCCACCCACGAGTTAAATTTTTCTGGGTAACCACTCCATTTCACGAGAGCTTGTTTACCCTTCTTTCGTATAACCTTTTCAATGCGGAAGAGACCCGAAAGGCTCTGCTTCGCCTTCAACATCTCTTGTTCGTAGAAAGTGCCTTTAATCTCTTCCCCAAGCAGATCTTTCAACTTGTAAGTGATGGGCTCTGTGTATTGCACCTCATCAACAACAAAGATCTCTTCAGACCAATTTGGGGTGTAACCCTTGTCGAATAGCTGTCGCTTGAATTTGGAGATTCGAACGTGATCGCCAACCGCAAACTTTGGTGGGTAGGTATCTAGACCGGAGGTCTTCAGACCTTTTAGGTCTTCACCATATAATTTCAAATAGACGGCACTCTCGTTCTTTTTCTTGGAGGCTTCTACAGGCGTCATACCAATCGATCTGTGTTTTGTGTTGTTGTACTTCTCGAGAATCTTTGGCAAAAGACCTTCGGTGTACACCGTGTTGTTTTGGATGGTAAACTGCTTCCACATTTTTGTCTTGATCGTACGATTCCATCTCTCACACACAGATGATTTTTCTTCATTCTCTGTCGAGTACAGCTCAACACCTTTTGCTTTGAATAGATCTTTGACACTTTGATTGTAGTACTCTGATCCTTTATCGGTCCACATCTTCTTCGGCACCCGCCCCTCGGCAAATATCTGTTTGAACCCAGCTGCCACACTCTCACCCTTATAATAGAAGTCTGGTACGATCCAACCATACTTGCTGAAAATGTCCAACACCATCAACAAATACCTGTAACCCTTATTCCACTTTGCAAACTTTTGCATCTCTACCAAGTCAGAGCACCAAATCTCATCAACGCCGTTCACAATAACGCGTCGCTTTGTAAAGTTTCGTCTGATGGGTTTATGAAGCTCATTGGCTAATTCTTCTTGCCAGCCTTCGGCTTGCGTGTCAAATTTTTTTTTCCACCCAGGCCTAGGCCTAGGCCTAGCTTCTGTTTGGAGTTAATAACGTTTCTCGCAAGCCAATGACCCCACTGCCTCTGATCATACGGTATCGCATCGAGTGCTTTCACCATCTTACGATCGGCCACATTTTTACACGCTTTTGGATTTGCCTTGTTTGCACAAACGCTGTAATCAACGTCGTGTTGCATTGCGACTGCATCACTCGGACCCGCTGGTGGGTCATAGATCTCAAGAATCTTGCCAGTCTTTGGATCAAAACGCAGTTGACTATCAAGATCGTTGTAGGGACCGGTATACTTGTGACCCGGTAGCGTCCAGCCACTTTTCGGTTTCGGTAGTTTGCCGATCGCTTTGTGAATATCAAAGGCTCCACCTTCGTAAAGAGGATGAGTCGGATCATTCACTCCACCAGGTGCGTACATCGACATCGGTAGTATCTGATTTACATCATACGCATTATACATCGCAGATGTCCCACCCCCTCTTATCTTTTTGCTCATATCGTTAACAAACGCATCAAGCGCCTGATCAACATACTTGCTCGCCGTCTTTTTGAACTTTCTCTTCGCATAGTCGGATTTGACAGCGTTTGCAAGACCTAGCTGAGCCATGTTCGCCAACCCCTTCACAGCCATCTCACCCAACGAGGTGCTGGTTCGCCCTACATCCTCAAAGAGCGTCCCGCCTTTTTTTTTTTCCCCTGTAAAAGAAACTTTGGTAATGCCACACTCGGCACATTTCGATTTGATCATCGGTCGACCATTTTTCGCAACCTCATACCTTTCAGATCCAGGCACGCTATCGGTCTTCTTCTTTTGCTTTACGCAGTAAGTTTTCATTTTCGAGTTGTGTTCTTACTAATTATATTAGTAGTAATTATATTTTTTCATCAAAATTTCGTGCACAGGTTCCCTTTATCTTATCACAAAACAAGAAATCATAGGGTCTCAACGCTGAAAAAGCACTGACATCGAAGCAGTTCTCTTTAGAGATTAGCTCGCGATGCAGCTGTGTCGGTGGTAAATATACGATCATGTGAGAACAATTTAATCTGATGATTCTAGGTATATCATAATACGATTGGGATATGTACACTGGACTTATTTTATGATGACGTCCATCAACGAAGTGCTTGGCGATTTTACTTTGGAGCGCTTTCGGGGCTGTTATCAGATCATCAAAAATCACAACCTTTCGACTCTCGCTGGGGTACTCAGTTGTATCGAGGATTTGATCAGGATCCATCAGATGTAAAATCTGATAACCTAGTTTTTGCGAATGTCGATGCATGATCTTCACAAGGTCTTGTATCAGGTCTTGGTGAATATTTGGGGTATAGATATATATTTCGTCATATGGTACAAGCGGGGCCCTCAACATATAGCACAGGGTATTCGTCTTACCGCTACCGCTTTGACCCGCTATCAACATTCTATAGTCCTCATCGAGAAAGTTAACGCCAGGAATCCTCCTTTTTCGAACCTCATGGGTGGTCAGTTTTGGTATGTTAACCATACTTTAGTCTTTGTTTTTAGTCTTTTGTAATACTATCATAGAAAATGTGTGTTGATTTTTTGATGGGTTCTAAAACCACCCTTGTTTTTTTGATTTTTTTTGATTTTTTTTCTCTGTAATGTTACAAAAAGCAACTAAAGCGAACAAAAAGTAAAAGCACATTACAGATTTACAAACATGCAACTCTCAAGTCTCAAAAGTATTACGCGTGATAATGTTATCTTTGAAGAGGCGGGCACTAACCAACACGGTCACGAACGTATCAACATCAAGATCAAACACGCCGAGGCGGCGGCTGCCGAACCGTTGGTGATAGCTTAACCTTTTCGATTTTCGTTTGGTGTACAGTCAAACTTGAATAAGAGTGGAGATATTGTGGGATACACACTACCCACTCCTCTGTGGAATCACCAAAGAGGCGAAGCCTCTGAACCAACGCAGAAAGAATTTGCCTTCTATGAAGCATTGAAAGAGTTGAAGCATATTTGCTATCAATATCTAGAAGGGGCTTATGGCACAGACGTAGCAGAGAGCATAAAGTTCCCACTGGTAGAGAAAGAGGGGAAAGCGCCGGTACTATATCCAAAGCTTATGTACAATCAAAAGTCTTATAAAATACGTACTCTCTTTCACACACGCCGGGGAAATCTCAACCCGATACTAGAATGTCGTGATTACTGTAAGGTAAAAATGAGCATCGTGGTTGATAGTATCTATCTAAGTGATGAGTACGCATCGGTACAGCTGAAAGTAAACGATGTATATATACAACCGTTGGCGCAGAAAAAGGTGCAGACATTAGCTATCCTTTCTGAAGATGAAGAAGAAGATGAAGAAGATGAAGTCTTCGAAGATCCCTAAGACCTCGAAGAGACCAAAGGTCTTTTTTTCCTTTTTTGAAACGAAAAAGGAAAGGTACACTTACCACTTAAGTGGTAAGTTAAGTGTCAACGATGTAAAACAGCAGGTGTTGCACTTATCTCAAAAGTTAAGTGCTACCTTTTGTTTTCACTTTTTTTGATTTTTTTTTCTCTTGTGTAGTTGCAAAGCAACTAAAGCAAAGTCATTACAAACTCACAAATATGGAACTCACAAGTCTCAAAGATATCAACAAGGACAACGTCAAATTCGAAGGACCGTTCACTTACCATAATGGTCGTTCTCGTATAAACATCAAAGTAAATGGTAGATTTAGCACACAGCTAGTTATAGCAACCCCTTTTCAAGAAGCATGTCTTGGTCTACAAAAGACCTACAATAAGAAAGGTGAACATGTTGGTTATCACTTCCTCTTTCCTTTGCATGATATGACGCGAAAAGAGGTTGACTTCTTAAGCGCCTTGAAAGAGTTGAAGAGTCTTTGCTATAAACATATAGAAGAGAAATTTTGCACAGGGATGGCAGACACGATGAAGTTTCCCATGAGTGAAGATTGCTTTCTACTATATCCAAAGCTTAAGTACAACAAAGACACCAAAGAGATACAAACCCCTTTTTACACGAAATTTGACAATCATGAAAAAGAATTAGAAGATCCACTCTTTTACCTTGGAAAGCGCTGCCGTGTCAAAATGGCAATCGTCATCG